GTACCCAATCTTTCTGGTTGGCTGCCACATAATGCCTAAGGTACACCTCCAAGAGGCCGTTGATGCGCTCCGTCTGCCCATCCGTTTGCGGGTGCAAAGATATAGACATCTTGAGCTCTGTCCCAAGCAAACGAAAGAGTTCTTGCCAAAAACGGCCGGTGAACCTTGAGTCCCTGTCGCTTATGATCGATGTAGGCAGTCCCCAATACTTCACCACATGCCTAAGAAAGAGTTTGGCCGTTATCTCCGCGGTGCACTCTTTTGGGGCGGGTATGAAGACCGCATACTTAGACAAACGGTCTACCACAACAAGTATGTTGGTGCAACCCTCGGAAACGGGCAGGCTCACGATGAAATCCATCGAAACGCTGTCCCACGGGCGTTCCGGAATAGGCAAGGGTGATAACAAGCCATGCGGGTGGTCTTGCTCGGTCTTGTCTTGTTGGCAAACTAGACAAGTCCTTACATATGTCTCCACATCTTCCCGCATGCGAGGCCAATAGAACCGTTCATGTACTAAGGCAAGTGTGCGATGCGTACCTGGGTGACCCGCATAACGGCTATCATGGCAATCCCTTAGAATCTCCCTTCTAAGTCCATCCCATGCGGGCACGTACAAACGGTTCCCTTTGGCATAAAGTATCCCATCCTCAAGCCAGAACCGCGTTGTCTTGCCTTCCTTCACGAGCTCCATGAACCTTTGGGCTTGACGGTCGTGCTCAAGACCCTTCTTAATGCGATCAACCAGCATTCCCTCGGGTATGCTAACGATTGGAGCAAGACACGCCTTTCGGCTTAGGGCGTCGGCCACGTGGTTAGTCTTCCCCGGGCTATACTCAAGCTCGTATTTAAACTCGGCCAAGAAGTCCAACCAACGCGCTTGCTTGCTTGAAAGCTTAGGTTGGCTTTGATGGTAGCTCACTGCCCGATTGTCCGTCTTGATCTTGAACGGTGTGGCGGCCTTCAAGTAATGCTCCCAAACTCTAAGGCAGTGAACTATAGCCAACATCTCCTTCTCGTGCGTCGGCCACCTTTTCTCGGTCTCATTCAGCTTGCGACTTTCAAAGGCGATCGGATGACCATCTTGCATGAGAACGCCCCCAATGGCGAAGTCCGAAGCGTCCGTGCACACCTCGAACGGTTTCTCAAAATCAGGGAGAGCTAGGACTGGCTCTCAAGTGACGGCGTCCTTTAAAGCCTCGAACGCTGTTTGGTGTTTTGGTGTCCAACACCAAGCTTGCCCCTTTTTCAAGAGATCCGTTAGTGGAGCGGCTATAGCGGAGTGCCCTTCAATAAACCGCCTATAGTAATTAACAAGCCCCAAGAACGATCTCAGCTCCGTTGGCTTCGTGGGTGCCTCCCACTCCACGATAGCTTTGATTTTGGCCGGATCCATGTGGATTTTGCCCCTACCAATGATGTGTCCCAAGAACGACACCTCCTCAAGGCCGAAGGAACACTTCTCCCTTTTAACATAGAGCCGGTTTTCCCTAAGGACTTGAAAAACGGCTCTAAGATGCTCCACATGCTCCTGCATTGTGTTACTATAGATAACGATGTCGTCCAAGTATACTACAACAAACTTATCAATGAAATCTGCTAGCACACGTTGCATCAGAGTGCAAAACGTGGCTGGGGCGTTAGTTAAACCGAACGGCATAACAAGAAACTCATAAGAGCCATACCTCGTCACCATGGCCGTTTTCGGTTCATCACCGGGTACAATGCGTACTTGGTAGTATCCCTTCCGCAAGTCTAGCTTGGAAAAGATCCGTGCCCGTTGCAGCCGGTCGAACAAGTCCGCTATAAGTGGGATAGGGTACTTGTTCTTCACGGTTAGTTTGTTTAACGCCCGATAGTCGATGCACAAACGTAGCGTCCCATCTTTCTTGCGTTGGAATAAGGCCGGCGAACCCCACGGACTTTTAGACGGCCTTGCATGACCCGATTCAAGTAGCTCCTTGATTTGCACCTTGAGCTCCTCTAGCTCACTAGGGGACATACGATAAGGCACCTTGGCTATCGGTTTCGCCCGTCCACCAACTCGATGGCATGATCAACCTCCTCCTTGGTGGAAGACCTTTGGGCAAATCGTCAGGCATCACGTCCTTGAACTCAACAAGGACTCGCTCTATGGGAGGCGGGATTCGTTCCTCCTTTGCCGGCTCCTCTGTGCATGGTTCCTCCTCAAACACCATGGCGGCAAAGGTGTGTTCACCCGTTTTAGCCCCTTGTTTAGCTGGGAAGGGCTAATCTCATTTTCCCGTCTAAACTTTACCACACAAGGCTTCTCGCCTTGGAGGATCACCATCGTGTCGTTGCTAGGCACGATGATCGGCTTTACCTGGTTTAAAAACTCCATGCCAAACACAAGACCATAATCATCCATAGGTGCAATGGAGAAATTAGCCGTACCTGACCAGTTGTCGATTTTAAGAGGCACATCCCTGGCTTCGCCTACAAGACCAGTCCATTCGCCGTTCATGCCCTTGAAACGACCTTTGCTAGGTGTCCACTTGACGCCAACCGAACGGGCTACCTCTTCCGTGAGATAACTCGTGTCGGCCCCCGTGTCTAGTATGCCCCATCTAGACCCGTTTGCGAACGATGCCTCCATGTAAAGACGGCCTTGACGTGTCTCGGCCTTGGCATGCACGGCATCTAGCCGTTTCATGCAAGCGACCCGTTTCTCCTCTTCTTGGCACAAACCTTGTGCCAATGCTGCCAACTTCGAACGAGACGGGCAATCACGTGCCATGTGCGCTCCCCCGCACAAGAAGCACCCTTGAAACTTCTTTGGTTTGTCCCCCTTGGTCTCCTTGCTTGAAGACGGCTTTGTATAGTCGGCTGCCGGCTTCGCGGGTGTGGAAGACTTCCCTTTGTCTCCCCCACCTTTGCCTTGGAACGGCTTCTTGCCCTTGTCCTTGGAGCTATCCTTCTTTTGGAACTCAACAAGCGACTCGGCCACCTTTAACGCCCGATCGATGTCCTGGACTTCTCTCCGTTGTAGCTCAAGTTTGGCCCAACGGTTGAGACCGTCCATGAAAGTAAATAACGCCTCATTGGGCGAGAGATCCGGAATTTCAAGCATCAAGTCCGAAAATTCCTTAACGTATTCCCGAATTTGGCCTTCCCTATGGTGCAGACGACGAAGCTTGGCCCGGGCTTCGTCTTCCGCATCCACCGGTAGGAAATACTTTCTAAACTCTTCCTTAAAACCATCCCACGTGGTGAAGACCGGGTCTCCATCCCCCACGGGTTTCATCATACGTTTCCACCATGATAAAGCACTATCTTTAAGATAAAGAGAGGCTTGGAAGAGTCTTACCGAGTCGTCCATGATATTCATAGCCCCAAAGTACCGTTCCATGCTGTAGAGAAAGTTCTCTACGTCCCTCAAGCGACGGCTGCCCTTATATTCGTCCGGCTTGGGCGCCTCAAGCCTTGGAACCGTCCCCACGGCTCCGGTTGTCCCTTGCACGGCCACGGCGTCAAGCCGTGCCTTAAGACGCGCCGATTCTGCCCGAGAAGTCTCCAGCTCCCCCATAAGCCGGTTGAGTCGTCTTGGAGGGCGGCAACACGACCAAGGCTTTCCTCCTTCGACTTGTTGCAACGTTCCACCATTTCGTTGAGCGTCCCTAGCATGTCGTCCTTCATTTGCTGCATGACCTCTTGCAATTCCCCTGCGAATCACTCCATGCGAGCTTCGACGACCCCTGCTACCACCTCAGGGTGCTCGTCCCAACGGTCTTGGTGGTCGGCCACAGCAAGCTCTAGCTTGGCAAGCCGTTTCTCAAATTCCACCATCGGCTCCCTAACGACCGACTTCTCCTTGCGGCTTCCTTTGCGGGTGGTCCTCCCCACCTCGCGGGAAACGTGATCCCCCTCAAGCTCCGACCCTTGAACGACCTCTGAAGGGTTGGACATAGCTTATGCACGAAAGAAAACCGACAAACGGAAGCGTAGACAATGTAGTACACCAAGTATCGAGCCGAGGCTCTGATACCAACTGTCACGGGCTTACTTTTTCAAAGTAACGGCCGTGCGGCACTAGCACAAAACAACTAACGATCAAGTGCTAGCTCAGCCTTAAGACTCCCAAAGCGTGCAAAGCTAGGCAAGACTTTAAAGAACGGAGGCAAAGAAAAACTTAAGAAAGGTTGAAAATGAAAGAACGATGAAGGCACAAGAGAGCTTAAGGAATGCTTGAGAATTCTACTCAAAGCTTGGATGATTACAAATGAAGGGGGGCATGGGGTATTTATAGGCAAACCCCCACAAGTCCTAAAGAATTCTAGAGAATTCTATGTACATAATAAAATAATGGGATTCTAGAGAATTCCTACAATAAAATATTCTAAGTTCAAAATATCTACAAGTCTCTAGAATCTTCCACACGGTTCTAGCAAACTCGGGTAGCTTCCACACGGTTCCACTCGTTTCTAGAGAGTTCCGGGCTTCTCTAGAAAATTCCAGAGTCTTCAAGATTTGACTGGAGAATTCCACAAGGTTCTAGACCGTTCCGTCCCATGTCCGTCTACGAAAATAGCCCGTTTCGCATCAAACCACCCGAATTCGTGGTGAAGAAAAACTGTCCGTGACAAGTGTGTGTAGTCGTGTTGAAACATGTCAACAAAGAAATTAACTTCACAATTAATGGTGTAGTATATGTATAATTGATTTTAAAATATTTTACGAATATTACTTTTTTGATCATAGTGATCCCGTTTACGATGCGATCCTGTGACTTTATTTCGATCCTACGTAGGATTACGATCCTGCAAACATTGATCGCGTCTCAAATTTTTGTAAGGTAAAAATTTCACCTTTGCTGTAAGGAAAACAATGTCATTTCACCCTATCTAATTGCAATTTCTAGCTCACAGATCACATTCCAGAAATATTTTGTTGCCCAATTTGAAAGGACTGAATTCAAATAATCATCCGCCGTTCAAACTTTCGACAGCAAGAATTGTGCGTGAAAAAAGAAAAGCCGAAGGATGAGCAGCGTTGCACTCCAGGTGTTTGCATTATTGCCGCAAAGATTCTCCCCGGAATTGAGCAGCAAATTTCATCCGTCGGGTATATTCGGCGCTAGAATACGAACACTATCAGCAGCAATATGTTGCTCTGGTTCGGATAATACTTCTCAAGACTCTTCAACCCAACAGCAACTCAACCTCTCTGTTCTTCGCTTTACTTTCGGTAATTCTATGGGTATCACTGTTGAAGTTTTACTCACAATGGTGTGGAATTTAATTTGTGTTTCCTTCTGTTTCGTTTTTGAAAGGGATACCTGGATTAGATGAATCATACTTGCCCAGATATATTGGCTATGCATTTGGGTCCCTTTTACTAGTAAATCACTTTGTGGGTTCAGATTCTTCTGCCCTTACTCCAGCTCAAATCGTTAGTTCCTCCTCCTTTTCAAACTTCATACTCTGAATAATTTCTCTGTACTTTGTTCTTCTAACTGTTACTCTAATTTCTATGTGCAGAGAACAGAGGTTTTGGGTCTCTCATTGGCTGCCTTCTCCGTTTTCATTCCTTATCTTGGGAAATTTCTTAAGGTTGTAATTTTCTTTCCAGACTTTTGTACCTTTGATCCCTTTTCTTCTTAAAGGGATAAGATAAGAAAAATGATTGCGATAAAGAGAGTGGCTTCATTGCTTCTGCGTTCTATGTTGTTTGTTTCCCGTTGGAGGTCAGTGTACTTGAAGTGTTGGTCTCAATGTTGAAGAATTATGAATAAACATGTTTTAAATTTTGAGTCTTTAGGCCATTTCAAGATCAGTATAATCATTTGTCTGCATAAGTCTTTATTTTGAATTCAGCACAGTTCGTACCAAATTGGCTTAGTACTTCTACTCGACTAATGTCTTGTCTCTTAGATTTGAAACATAGTGTTAGTTTGGCTGTCTATCAATGTGAATTTTTTATTATGGTAAGAGCTTGAACATTCTGACACTTTACTACTTGGGGATACATTCAGGGTGCTACTACAGTTAGTGAAAAAACTATTCCTGAAGGTGCAGATCAAATTTTTCTCATTCCACAAGATGTTTCGGACATTCTGAAGGAGGATTTGGCTTGGGGAACATATGTTTTACTGCGTAACACCAACACAGTGTCAGTGGTATGTCGCAAGCTTAACCATTTTTTGTGGAAATGAGAAAGCATATATGAGTAAGTGGTTATGTTAAACTGGTGTGTGCTGAAATAAGTGCTGCAATTGAGGGCTATAAATTGTGTCTCAGATTTTGCTTTTTTCACTGTTAGATATTAATGGTGCTGAACTTTTATGTTCTAGCTCATCTTTATTCAAGACGCACTTTGCTTGCGTGGCTATTGGAGTAGCCCTAAAGACATGTCAAATGATCAACTGTGTGATTGGTTTGCGGAACAAATTCAAAAACTTGCGCTTCTCACTCTGAAAGAGGAATTGTATTTTCCCCAGGCTGAAGGTATGAGTTAGCTTTTGAGTTCAATTTCCCAAGATTAACTTGTTTTGTTCTTCTACGTTCTATAAATAGGCTATCCTAGTGTATAGAAATTCATCTTGTGCTGGTGCAGAGAAGAAAAGATCACGCCGACAGGCCTTAAGAATGAACTTAATTTGAGCCAAAAAAAAAAAAAAATTCTTACGTGTCGGCTGGCATTTGTTGAAACACATTCTTTAGAACTGTATTTATGTTACAATTTTTTTTTGCAAGTTCATTTCTCTGTGTTTCTCTATGACTGCATCAAATTGAGCTTGTTACCTGCTGTCAGTTTTGTTTTCTTCAGTGGTTATTTTCCAGCTTTTTCTTGCTTTGAAATGTCCCATTTTTTCTCACGAAAGAGATCCTGCACTTTTAAAATCTCATCTGGCATCAAGTGCAGCTCTTCTTTGTGGTATTATGCAAACACCAATGTTATCTATAGGTTCCCCCCAAACTTTGATATATGATTTAATATTTTTTAACCTTGATAGAAAGAAAATAATCTTGTCAGAGCTTCCGGGATGATATGGCAACCATACTTACATCGATATGATGGATATGTTGTGCAGAAGTGTATTTCTGTTTTAATTCAGAACATTGTTGTTCAGACATGCATTCTCAAATGCCAGTATAATCCTTCGTATTTACTCATATAACAGTTTTCCTTGCCTTCTTCTGCCTCTTGTTCACCAGTATTTACTCAGCTATTTGTGATCCATTCTTTCTTGGATGACATGAAAGCATTTTTTAAAGGTTGCTTGTTGCTTAGGATTCTTTTTCCACAAGATCTGCTAAATGCCATTTGCTTTTATGGCATCACCAAACTAGGATCTTGAAAGAGTTACTATCATTCTTGTTAGAAATTAATGTTTTTGTATGGGAGGTTTATTTACTTAAATGTGTTTGTTGGAAAACTCTTTGGTACAGAATTATGGAAGATGCTTCCTAAAGGCACTCAATCTGTCCTTGTACAACCGATTTTGAGCGCTGAAAATCTGAAAATGATTAATAGAGGAAAGATTGGAGGATTCGTTTTGTTGGCCTCTACCAGCACTTATGCATACAACTCAAAAGACCGAGCCTGGACAAAAGCTATTGCAAACAAGTTTAGAGTATAACCCTCTCAACAGGTTTGTAAAATATGACGATGGTGTTACAATTTTCCCATGTATATTACAAATGAATAGGCATGCACACACACGTTGCAGATACACAGTCCGGCAACTATTTGTTTGCATATATCCCTATACGAGATCATGTGCCGCAGGTTGACTTCTAGGGTCCTTAGGTTAACTATTTGTTTTCTGCATTCTTCAAACGAAGTATAAGCTGATGGAGAAATGCAACTCTGTCAACACTCAATTCACTTGGGTCTGTTAAATGACAGAAGAGAGTAGTATATCATCTCCAATTCGTTCTGCTTAGATGCACGATTTTATGCTCATTCCCAACACCAAAAGTGGATTCTCTTCCTGTCGAAATAAACAAGCTTTTAGGAATTCACATCTGAATTGATAAAAATCTTACACCTAAACAGCCCGCGTTCGAATATGAGAACTTGCAAGTTACAATCCTTACCTATGTTGTGCACAAATTGTATCTTTTCTGTTGGAGCCCTTCATCTTGGGCCTTGGGGGTATTTAATCTGTCATCTCCTTGACCCAGTAAATAATTATGATTACGAAATTCCTGAAATAGTTACCATCTCCTGGAAGTGTTGTATGCGAATCCAATTTTCTTGTTTTTGTCTTCATTCATCTATTTGCCTAAAGCATTTTTCCAACAAAATTTGCACGAAAAGAAGTGGTTATCACACAAAACCACAACTGTCAATCTATGAAATAACTGAGTAAAAGGTTCCTTTCTTTTTTCAGTAGAAATGGGAAGTGTTTTCAAAATAAACATTTTATGCAATATTTCTTTCCCCAACATGACTGTCCACACAGACCAATTGCTACCGTGCCATAACTCCAGTTAATGTCAGCTTTAATGCGAAAGCTCAGCAATACACGGTTAAGGCTGGTGAGATTAAGATTTTGAGCAACACAACACATCATAATCAATTTAGCAGTCATTTTCTAAAGAATTCTTGTCTCTTTTGCAACTTCCACCGGGAAGCCATCATTTTCAAGTTCAGTAGAAGCTCTATCACGCCACATCTTCAAATTTTTTAAATGAGGAAAATTTTGAGGCGTGCAATAGATTTTGAGACTAAACTCCACCTGCTACAAACTGTCGAATTTATTTGTCCGTCCCAAATCCTAATAAATGAGCGATGGGTTACATTGACGACAGTTAACATAGAGTTACGACATTCTAATAAAAATTATGAATTAACAAGAAATTGTACTTGAATGAAAATGTCTATCTTCACAGCACATTGAGACATGATTTGTTTAGCAGACTTTACATTGTCGTATTGATGGAGCAAGCTTCTAACGACTCGCAATGGTGATTGGATAGGCTTGAAAAACCCTTGATCTTCAAACCTGCAAAGTCCCGATTACCCGAGATAAACACTCCGATACTTAAGTTAGTCCCTAATCATTAAATAATCTCATATTTATAATGAATAATAGATAATTAACCAGAGAGAAATAAATATATAATCGTATATTAACTCCTAGAGTGAATCAAGGAAACACGCCCAAGATCAGAGATGAAATATGATCCCTAGTGACGCGGCTAAGGTAATATCTGATTCTCAATGATCTTTAACCATCTCAGTTGACTCGAATAAATAGGTTCTAATAAGTAGGCTTTATAAAATTACTTGGGCTTTTATTCATCTAAGCTTGAAAGACAATTATTGTAGCATGGCCAACCTCATCTCAAATACTCAGGGTCTTTGGACCAGCTAACTTGCCATCAATTTGGAGGTACAAAAAAATCAACGATCCATTTGATGCGAATCTTTTATTGAATTCTGTACTTTTGGCTGATATAGATAGACTTCGTGGTTTTCAATTTGATCTTGTGGAGCCTTCCACTAAAACTTTGAGTTTGTTGCAACCTTTGTTTCTTGTCTCTGAAGGTAGTGTTGTACGTTTATAATTTTAACTTTCATCTTTTTACTATGGTGTTTCAAGTATTGGACAACTTCACTTATCCTTTCCTTTTTTTTTCTTCTTTTTTTTTTTTTTGCAGCTATAATGGATGTTGATATATTGGACTTCATGAGAGTTGATACTTCCGCTACTGCTAATGTTGCTGCCAAGTCGAAAAGCAAACTTGATTCATCAAAAGTGATCGGTAAATCCAAGAAGCATAAATCATCTCTTGCCAAAGCCAACAGAGGCAAAAGGCCTATTGAAACTGCTGTCGAAGTGGAAAAGTTGAAAAACACCAAAGGATTGGATTCCTTAACTAAGGTCAGTCCCGGTAATAAAGTCCATGGAATCTAAGCCCATCCAAGTCTGATGGACTTTAATCCATCCAAATCTAGCAACTTAAAATTTTGGGCTTGGATGGGTGTGGATAAAATCTGAAGCGGACGGGGAGAGTGTCATGCCATCGGGGTCGGAGACGGGTCGGTAAATTCAATTGGGAAATTTAGGGATTTGACCATTGGACCGAATGCTGCCGTTTCGATTAATTGAAGCAGAAGCTTCCTTTTGCACGTCGGGGTGATCACGCAGGAAGACAAAAATGCAGCAGTTTCCTTGTTATTTCCTTTCATTGCAGCTGTCTTTAGTTAAATTAACTTTTCATTTTCTTTTGTTTAAGCTGCCGATTAGCTTCTAGAAGATTAGGGCTAATATATAAGTTAATGATGTAAGGAACTGGGAATTATCATGAAATTTGGAAATCCTAAACCCTATTTCTTCCTAAACTAATTGTCTTGCTCTTTTCTTTTACCCTCTGGATTCTCCCCTGCTCCTTCCTTCTTTTCGTCCCGCACTGAAATCTGAACTCTCTCTCTCTGTGTATCACGTGGTTGTGTTCCTTCCGTTTATGTGCAAGAATCTAAATTTTCAAAAGGAAAAGCAAGTTACTTCATGACAAATGGTATGCAGAGCTAGCCTTTTCTTGGCCTGCGGTTTAAGTTGAAATATTAATTTTCTTTCTTCTCTTACACTGTTAAATAAGAGGAGCGTTGGAGAGAGAAACTAGATCTTGTTTTCGAAAATAACAGAAACTAGAGCCAAAACAACTCAGGCTCTTGAAGAACACATCAAAAGACAGGATCTTCAAATGGTGGAGCTTAGTGAATGGAGAAAGATGATGGATGAAAAGATCTGCAACTGGGGAAATTAGATGGAGTCAAAAATCGAGCAGCAATCCACACAGTTTACAACTCTATCCAACCAGCTTAAGGAGTTCATGAGATCTATGATGCTTGAAAAAGGTGACAAAGCAAATGGAGGAAAGACTCCCATATCATCTACTTCTGATGGAATCTTACCAGATCCGGTGGGAATCTCTAAGTTAAACCTGGAAGAAACGTTGACTTCAATGAGCAAGGAGAAATTCAACAAATCTGGCTGGCTGTCACAACCCAGGTTAGAACTACCAAAATTCTCAGGAGAAAACCCTAGGGATTGGTTACAAAAATGTGATAAATTTTTTAGCCTATGCGAGATTTTTGACTTAGAAAAACTGGATGCTATAGATCTGTATTTAGAAGGCAAAGCAGATTTTTGGTATCAAAGTTTTAAGAGGGTGAATGGAGCAGTGACCTGGAAGGAGTTTGAGACAGAACTAGTTAAAAGGTTTGGGGATAAGGGAGAAGAGGATGAGATCGAATAATTTAACAAACTCCTTCAAACTGGTACTGTATCTGAATATCATGAAAGTTTTGAAGAATTGAAATCTAGAGTCTAGTGCAAGGATCCCCATTTAAAGGAAAATTACTTCATTTCAAGTTTCATTAGCGGACTAAGACAAGAGCTGAAGCTGATGGTTCTACTGTTAGAACCACCCACACTGTTGAGGGCCTACGAAATAGCTAAGGTACAGGAAAAGACCCTAGCTTTTGCCCTTAAAGGTGTTAACCAAGCTAAAGCATACCCTTCCCCTACCAAAAATACGCCTCAGAAAACGTTTTTTCCCAATCAAAGAAAAAAAGGTAATGAGGTGTTTAGAAGGTTATCTCCCCAAGAGATCCAATATCGTAGAAATCAGAATCTCTGTTGGAGATGTGGGGAGAAATGGGGACCTGGTCACATATGCAAGATGAAGCATATCAATGTTATAGTGGCAGAAGAAAATGAAGACCTTGGTGATCTCATGGTTCTACAAGATGAGGTGGATGATGCAGGCGAAGTGGTACATTTCCCCCGAAAAACAAATCCAAACTATCAGTCAACTGGCAGAATGTTGGGCATTGGATGAAGAAGATAGAAAGATTATTGTAATCTTGGGGTTCATCAAACAGCTTACAATCAAAATTTTGATAGACACAGGAGCTACTAGGAGTTTTATTGATTCCTAGATAACAAGCAGATTGAGATTGACAACCCATAAGGTCAGACCTTTTGTGGTTGCAGTAGCTGGGGGACGCAGAATCAGAAATGATGAAGCTTGCTTGGATGCACAATGGTCTATTCAACAGTTTGATTTTCGATTTGATTTGAAAGTGATTGATTTGGGAGAATGGGATATTATTCTGGGGATAGATTGGCTTTCAAGATTCAGCCCCATTCTGTTTGATTATGATAGATATGCCATACAGCTGAGCAGGAAAGGTGAGAGATTCATCCTACAAGGTCAGGCATATGAAGCACATAAAAAAATTGAAGAAGTTTTGGAAGGTGTGCAATATCACAAAAGGAGAAGACAAGAGTGGGAATGGGAGCAGATGAACAGAAGGAGAAATGAAGGACCATCTGAGAGAACTAGAGGGAGAAGAACAGATTTGGATGCCGGTTACCTATATGCGGTCACTGTCTCACAAATGCCGCAGGAAATAGAGCTACTGCTGCATCAATTTGAAGACATTTTTGCTGAACCTTCCAACTTACCACCTATCAGATCCATAGACCACCAGATATGCCTGAAACCTGATGCTCAGCCTTTCCAGATTAAACCATACAGATACCCCCATGCTCACAAAAACGAGATAGAAAAACAGGTGGAACAAATGGTGATCAAAGGCACTGCCAGACCAAGCAACAGC